AATGTTCTAGTTCTTGCTGAATATAGGGTAGGCTGGTATATAAAAGAGGGGAATGTAATGTGTGAGTAGACAATGAGTAATTGAACTGCAGTCAGAAGTATTGTTGAAGTTAACGTTCGTTCGTTACAGTGTTGTTTTAGCGCGAGTATTGAGATTAAGTGTATCGCAGAGTTATATTCGGAAAGAATAAACCAGCTTTATTAAGTAAAGACTTGTGTCGTTAAAGTTTCGTTGGAACGAAGTTACGGAAAAATCAATTAACAAACGGAGACGTAACAGTACTTTTGGTTGGCTGTCTTGATACAGCTCATACACCAGCGTTAAAAGTACGAATCTTTAGCTACGTGGAACAACATTAACGAAGTATATTTCTGTATTGTTGGAAACGAGTTTGTAAAATATAACATACACACATATATACAGTAATTAAGGTCTTTGTACACTTTATACACAGAATGAAAAAGTATTTCCTATTAATGAGATGTAAAGAAATTGATAAGAGCGTTTTTATACTTTTTCACTAATTTTAAACTCTTCATAAATAACAAGAAAACAAGTTACTGAAACAACACAATACACATTTATTTGTTACTTATATTCAGGAAATGAAATGGGATTTAGGAACTAGGTATACGATTAGAAGGAGTAGTGGGGTGGTAAGTATAAAAAGCAAATAGAAAAGATAGGAGGTTCATATTTTATATTCTAGCTTGTTAATATTGGTAATTTGAGTTCCTAATTCGTAAGAAACTATAGACTTTGTATTTGGACATAACAAACATCTAATTTGAACCAATGCAGAATTCAACATACCACGTGACACATAAAAATTGATGTTTAGGCGTGTTCTTATAATATTTACTTTTAAATTAAGAAACTATTAATATAGAATACTAAAATTTGAATTACAGTCCACATCTTAATACCAAACTTATTGCCATAAATTCATAAAATAGTAGTTCAACAAAATTTTGACAAACGCGATAACATGGCCTTTAACCCGTGACGATAAGGTTAATAAACATCTTCAGTGGTACTAAACTTACCAAACTGAGAACTAGTACACGGCGTGTACCCCATTTTCATCACTGCTTATGTAAGACATTGGTTAATTTTCTGTATCTAGACGAATTAGTACATGTAGGCTTACAGTAAAACTATTAGACATTGGTTAATTTTCTGTATTTAAACAAATTAGTACATGTAGGCTTACATTAAAACTATTGGACATTGGTTAATTTCCTGTATCTAGACGAAGTAGTACCTATGGACTTAGTGTAAAACTATTAGACATTGGTTAATTTTCTGTATCTAGACGAATTAGTACATGTAGGCTTACAGTAAAACTATTAGACATTGGTTAATTTTCTGTATTTAAACGAATTAGTACATGTAAGCTTACAGTAAACTATTAGACATTGGTTAATTTTCTGTATCTAGACGAATTAGTACATGTAAGCTTACAGTAAAACTATTAGACATTGGTTAATTTTCTGTATTTAAACGAATTAGTACATGTAGGCTTACATTAAAACATCAGACATTGGTTAATTTTCTGTATCTAGAGGAATTAGTACATGTAAGCTTACAGTAAAACTATTAGACATTGGTTAATTTTCTGTATTTAAACGAATTGGTACATGTAGGCTTACAGTAAAACTATTGTTGCGTCATCGAGATCATGTGATTCTCACGCTCTCTACTTTCTAGAATTATCCTGTACTTTGGCGAATGTTCTAGTTCTTGCTGGATATAGGGTGGTCGGGTATATAAAAGAGGGGGGACAACGTGACAAGGTAAT